CGGAGCCTGGAGCCTGTTTCAGGTTCTGTGTCTCCCTCTCTGTCCTTGCCCCTCCCCTATTTGTGCTCTATCTCTCTCTCCCTAAAAATAAACAAACATTAAAAAAAGATACCGTTTATTAAGTAACTACTATATACCCTTAAGTGTGTCTGCTTACTGCCCTTTCAACTGCAACCAGCAGCTTGGGGAGTTAATCAGCATGGTCCAGCAAAGTAGCTTGTGCTGAACTTGCTATGGAGGTAGGCTGCTCTTTATGTTTAAATTGAGATTTGGTCTTTCACGTGTCTCTTCTCTCTCTCTGAACTGTAAATTCCTTGAGGGCTGGGACTGTGTTTTCTGTTTTGTTGGTGTCTTTGCTGAGAGTGATTGAATTAGTACTTTGCATACAGCAGGTGCTTAATAAGTGTTTCATTCTGTAAAGCATGCCAGTAGGATACCAGGAGCATGATTACCTCCAATTTATAGTATAATAATGCTCTGTTGGTATGCATTACTCAACCTTTTTTAAAGATACCATTTATTGAGTAACTGCTGTATACCAGATGCTGTAACTACTAGGTACCAGGCTTTAAAAGCATTATTCTATTTTATAATATTATAGTATACTTAACACAATGAGCACTGAGTAATGTATAGAATTGTTCACCTGAAATTAACATAACACTGTATGTTAACTATATTGGAATTGAAATTTAAAAACTTAATAAAAAAAAAAAAGAAAGTAAAAAAATAAAATAAAAGTGTTATTCCATTTTATAACATTATAAATAGTGTATTTTATTCAATCCTCAGATATCCTAGTTATTAAAGGCCCTGTCTGAGGACTCTAAGACTCAGAGAGATTAAATAACTTGCCTAATTGGCTAGTAATTTCCAGAGCCAGCATTTGAACCAAGGTGGTCAGAACCTATGTGATGTCTATGCTATTTCCATTTCATATAAATTTACTATTTCAAGCGTCACAAGAACTTTAGGTGTTACAGGTGAAGAAACTGACACCTAGAGAGGTCATTCAATGTCATTTAGTGACTAAGCAGACAGGATTTGAGTCCAGATTTTCTTTGGCTTCCATCTAAGTATAGTGTTCCTTATGCAGTACCAGGCTGTGACTTTTGGCCATCCTAGTCAGGGCCAGGCCTTCTGTCTGGTGTGTGTCTCTTGAGTATGTCACATTGAGTTATAAACATAGTCACTTGATTTCTGTGCACCTCATAAACTCAGTATGGACTGTTCAGAGTACCATCACCAAATCATTCAGGTCCCCAGGTATAAATTAAAAAAAATTTTTTTTAACGTTTATTTATTTTTGAGAG